GTCTTTTAAAACATGTTTCTTTCTTTTCATATCCAGAGAAATATTCTGCCGTGTCAATATTTCCTAGGATATTTCATTTTTTCTGGGAGAGGACTGGATGATAACTTCCCACATATTGCTCACATATTTTTATATACAAACATTCTCTAGTGAAACTGTAAAGGGAACTATTGTGAGTAATACTAAAGAGAGGACAAAATAATCCACCAGTTGGGTTTTTTCATTTCTGGATTCTCCAAAAATCAGATTTCTGTATCATTTGTGATTGGAATGATTTCTTGTGAAAATCACATCTGCTATGAACTGGAATGATAGCTTAGATTAACAATTTTATCTGGGGGGAAAGGTAGTACATAGAATGTATTAGACCAAAGCAGATTTATCCAAATTAAATAATAATAACAAATACTAAATCCATAATCAGCATCATCATAGTATCATAGAACCATAACCATTGACAGAATCAATATCCTTAGCTATTCATCCAAAGCTAAGGAAAAGATACTTGTCCAAAACCAAAATGAAGATATATGTTTAAGAGTAATGCAAACCATCAAAGAACTGATATTGTTTGGGCTCAACTCCAGTTGCACAGTTTCCAATGGAAGCAGTGTAAAAATAAGAGTAGGTCCTCCTGCTGTTTCAAACTGCTAGGTATTAATGTTTAAATTGCTACTCAGCTCCTTTGGTAATACAGACTAGTGAAGCTGCTATGATATACCATTAGAATGTTCTTGTTCTTGTTCTAAATGAACAAGAGGTTTGAATAGCGAATACTGAACATGAATGCTGTTTTTATACCTACACTGAGTGGAAATTGCTGAATTTGTTGAAACTACATTGAAAAATATATATTTTAGAAGAAAAAAACGGAGTTAAAATAGTGATCTTGCTTTTCTCAACTAGAGGTCAGTAGATCACTGCAGTTTCAGGGCCTGAATATACTATCATACATGGTAAACAAATCTTTTATAAAAATATTTTGCAGTCTGTGATTTGAGAAGAAAGAAAACGTATTACATTACATGAAATAAAACTCTTTTTTNAAACTCTAAACTCTAATTGAGTTTGATTCAGCATCAATACTGCTGGTAACCAGGAAGGCTGATAAACTTAGCTTTTCAGAAAGACTTGGTAGTTAGTTTCATTTTTTGATTAGCCCATGGGCCATCTCAAAGTTCAGAGTTCCAAACACAAATTATTACTAAAATCCGATAAAAACAATTTAAAATTAAATTGGAATAAATACAATTTAAGATGAAATTAGAATAAAATATAATGATTTAATATATGGATAAATAAAATATGATAAAATTATATTTCAGTGACACCCCTACATTCTACCCCAATCAGTCCACATATGCCAATCTCAACAGAACCATTTTGCTCAAGTTCTCTGCTGTATTAAGTGTTGTTTTCTAATTCTGGCTGTTTTGATATGGGGTTCCCAATGGACAAATCATTTAGTATATAGACCGAGGTACCTGTCTCTCACCCTCTTATATAGGCAACAATCAAATGGAATGTGAGTCAGATCTTCTATCTCTGCCGCTCCACAAATGCAATGATGTCCATTATAGGATATAGAATGGACTCTCCAATATCTGACCATTGTGTCAAGCTGTTCAAATCTCGCTCGTATAAATATCTCTCTAAGTTGTTTTGGCAGTTGTAACTTTAAATAGCTGCCTATAGAAAGACTTTGTAGTTTGATAAGAGAGCTTCACACCGTGAAGCAGGTGTTGCTTATAACCAAGAATATTATTTCTCAGCAAACACTTTTAGAGACATTTACAATGAAGTGAACTGTAAAATTAAGTAGGCAAACACACATATATTTACTTGCTTATTTATAATAATTAGAAAGTGGGCACCTATACTACATAAAATAATTCTATTTAATTCTAAAACAAGCAACAATTAATTTGAAAATTGAAAATAATTATACTGCAGTTTGAATGAGAATATTTTATTTACAAAGGACTCAGACATGAAGAGATAAAACCAGATTGTTTTCCTATCATTTTAATGGGTGATAAACAGCACTAATTATTGTGAATTGCATATGTATGAAGTACAGTTATTTAAATTGAATCAACTTCTCATTAAAACTGTGGGGAATACTAAGAAACACATTAACTTTTTTTCTGATGTCCTCATAGAATTGGTAATGACCAGAATTGCTAGATTTGTACTCAATAATGGGAAAATATCCTGCAGTTTTGCTTAATAATCTCTTGGCAAACAAATCTGTTAAGAATGTCAATCTGCTTTCAAACTGCAAGCTTTCCCGGTACAAATTTTATGAGACGCAGTTGTCTGTCAAATGGATGGAGGCAATGTTTTAATTCCTTTCTGTATTTGGGAGACAGCCTTTTTTTAAAATGAAGGTAGAAATGATGGGCTGAGAAAAGGGAGGATGACAGTGACTTGGAATAAAATTTGTAATTTGTAATTTCTATTTTTAAAAAGTCCAAGTAAAATAAAGAGGAATAGAAACTCCACATGCTAATTCTGAAGAATTAAGTGGGGAGTTTAGAAATGAATTTACATTAAAAAACGAGAAAGATCTAAGACTCCTCCTAGACAATCATTTAATTATAAGCCACCAGTTTTCTATTGCTGTCAAAAAAAGCCAATGCAATCTTAGGCTGCATCAACAAGATCACGTAAAGTGATAGTGTCGCTTTATACTGCATTTGTGAGATCATACTTGGAATACTGCATCCAGTTCTGGTCATCAGAATAGAAAAAAGATATTGAGACTCTAGAAAGAGTGCAGGGAAGCAACAGTTGAAGTTGATTAGGAAGCTAAAGCATACAATGAATCATTGTGGCAACTGTATATGTAACCTAGAATTAAGGAAAACTTTCCTATCAGTGAGTGTGTGTAATTAATCAGTGGAATGGCTTGTCTTTAGAAGTTGTGGATGCTCCATCACTGGAGACTTTTAAGAAGAGATTGGACAGCCATTTTTCCAGAATGATATAGGGTCTCCTGCTTGAGCAAGGGGTTAGACTAGAACAGTTCCAAGCTCCCTTCCAACTCTATTATTCTGTAGAAATTCTGTATTTATTTCTCTGTGGTGAGCAAGTCTTCTGTGGGGTCCTTGGTGCTTTCTGAGCTTGGATTTTTCTTGTAGATGTTTCACTACCAAACTAGGTAACATCATCAATGCCAGAAGAGATTGAGGTTTGTTCTCCCATCTTTTAGTTCTTCACATAAGCTTAGTAACTGAATGAATATTTCAGGTTATGCTGCATGCATAAATAAATATTTTTCTTTAGTAATCATGATTTTAAATAATAAATGAAAATGCTATTGCAATCTATTCACAGCATGTTTTCTTTTATTTATAGCAGGTTTGTGCCATATTTTGTTCTGCTTGGAACACTGTTATTAAAATTTCTCAATACAATTCGTGCTTTCCTTTGATTTTGAGTAGTTCCATACCTTCCTTCTTCAAAAGGGATTGTTGACATTCTGATATGTAAAATTAAAAGTGTTATTACAATTTTTATTTTCCTTTTTTTAATTAAATTTTGTTTTTTATATCTTGTGAGATTGATCTACTCCAAAAGAAATACTGAAACTTCTGATTGCATAGTCAAGAAATACTGCTATAGAAATTATTTCACTCTTTCCATTTTATTCACTAGAAAAACAGCAAATGGTACAAGAGCCCCATATTTTTAAATACCAGGTTTAATATATGTGGTAACAGTAGGAACTACCAAGTTACTAACCAAAGCAGTAGACTGGCAGAATGTGAAGACACAAAGATCCTTGGGATCCTTAGATCACTAGCCAAAACTTTGCAATAATGTTAATGTTTAAAATACTAATTCTTTTTGTAAAAATGAATTTCATAAAAATTGTAAAAATGTGTATGTAGAAAACAGGATGACAAAAATGCAAAAAACTATTGAAAGAAAAGGATCAAAAATGCATTTTTTCCCCCATTTTGTATCCAGGAAATAGAGGTAACTGAACAAGTAAAAATTGTTTTATATTAAAATTTTATCCATCTTGCATAATTGGAATTTTTGAAGGTTTTTCTCTTCAGTATTTAAAGTAATATGTTGGGGAAAAATTGATTGAAAGAAAATATGTTCATTCCATTAGCCGAAAACATTTACACGCTTATTTTACTTCTATCAGTCAGATCTTTCATAGTCTGATAAAGAAAGCAATATATTTTAAGTTTTTTTAAGTCTGGAAACTCAAGTTATTCTAACCTATGTTTTATTTTGCTTTGATTTATAGATTGATCTTCTTGTTCCTACAAAAGTCACTGGCATCATTACTCAAGGAGCTAAAGATTTTGGTCATGTTCAGTTTGTGGGTTCCTATAAAGTCGCCTATGGAAATGATGGACAACACTGGACCATATATCAGGATGAAAAGCAAAAAAAAGATAAGGTAACAAGATGGTTGATATTTGGAATATACAGTAGGCATTGATGTAGCATTCTTCAACCCCAACATTCTCCAAGCTAGTAAGTTTCAGGTTAAAGTATGCTGCGTGGTTTTATGAAAAGTTCATGTTTCATGGTTAAAGGTCAATGCAAAAATTAATATAAATATACTGACATTTACTCATACTTTAATAGTAATGTGTGAAAAGTGTCAATTTAAACAGCAAACATAACATTTAAATGAATAATAAAAACTGCTATATGAAAAACCATTATAAAATTTAATTTTCAAAATTCTAAAATAGTGGTCGGAACATAAAAATATATACTGAAGCAAATAATGTATATAATGATTTGAAAAATATTTCTAAAACTATTCACACATCAACTGGAAGAATTCATATAATATAAAATAATTTTATTTATCTATTTTTTCATTTACTTATTGGATTTATATAGCTTGTCATATCATTTGCATGGGACTCTGGGTGGCATACCCAAATTAAACAATCAGCAAAATTCAACCATTGATTCATCAAAAACAGTTAAAAAAACTCTTCACCTTCTAAACCACTCCAAACTCGATTGCAGAAAATACGACTTCAGCAACAGAGTGGTCAGTGCTTGGAATGCTCTCTCTGACTCGGTTGTGACATCCCAAACCCCCATAATTTTAACCTAAGACTGTCTACTGTTGACCTGACCCCATTCCTGGGGTCATAATGGGCGTGCATAAGTGCACCAGCGTGCCTATTGTCCCTGTCCTACTATCTCCATTTATTTGTATATTACTGTGTTTATATTTATGTTTATACTTATACCTGTTATCTTTTATGTGTTTGATAAACTAAATTAAATAAAAATAAAATAAGTACTTTAGTCCCAATATCTTAGGTGAGAAGTCCCCAATATTTTCGAGCTAATGAATAGATATCACAAAATAGCTGTGATCCAAACAGCTGACATAATTTGCCAACTGGAAAAATTCTTTCATACCTCTTCCCCTCCTTTCTCTAAATTCCCCTCAGAATCTTAGATTTTTGTTTAATAGTTTAGAAGCTTTGAACACTTTGTGATCCAATGAACATCATTTCATCATAAGTGCCAGTAACTACTGAGTTCTTATAACTTTCAATGTTTATTTTCAGTTATATACTTTGCGTCTTTCTTCATTGCTTTCCATTTTTTTTAAAGTATCAGTTTCTTCTTCAGAGATTTTTGCCACATTTTGTTTTCAAAATATTACATTTTTTGTTCCTTACAGTGAACATTCTTTTTTTATTTCATCTAGTAATGAATTATTTTTTGTTCTTGTAGTCCAAGGTATTTTCAACTGTTTTCTTTTTGAGCACACTATTCACTTTGTTTAGCCTTTCTGATGATCCAGCTTTCATAGCTGTGTCTAATAACTTAAAAAAAAAACATGACATTGGCAATACCTACTTTTCTTGTCAGTGTGATATCTCATCCCTTAATGTCCACACTCTCTTTGCCCTTCTTCTGAAAGCCTGGACACATTCTAAATGAGGTAATGAACTCCGATGACCTCTTCATTCTTCTGCTGAAAAATTGCTTACACGGTTGTGAGACCCAGAGGGATTTTTGCAAATAAAAGTAATGTAAGAAGCTGGTGCTTTGCTGTTCTCTATATCAATATATCTCAAAGAACCTAACATTATTTTTAAAAAAATATAATTCAAAGAATCTATCCTTTTTTTAAAAAAAAAAA